ATCCAAAGCCCTAAAAGCTACAACCCTAAAACCTTAAAGGCCCTACAAACCTAAAGCCCTAAACCTAAAACCTTGATTGAAATATTAAAGGCCCTACAAAGCTAAAACCCTAAACCTAAAGCCCTACTATGTTTTAAAGCCCTTGGAAACCTACACGCGGCCTTAACAGCTGAAACCCTAAGGCTTAAACCCCCTAGGGTGTTTTTTGTATAAGGCTTGGGGGTTTCAGGTTGTAGCTTTGGGTTTTAGGGTTTTGGGTTAAACCTGACAGGTTTTAGGATGCCAAGCAAAAGTAACTAGGATACCTGTTCACAGTTTAGATATATGTTTTTTTAAGGTGTGAACTGGTATCCTAGTTACTTTTGCCTGGTATCCTAGTTGTTCTGCTTACTCCTTAATTATTAAGGCCCCTACATTTGCTTCCGTCCCTGCGAGGCTTTCCGACCAGCCCACCGGCCTGAGTGCACAGTGCAGTAACGTGGCCATTGCACATCGATGATGGTGCAATCGTCATCCGTTGCTGCATTTTGTGCTCCTAGAGCTTAGCTAGGGTGCTGTCTTTCTTTCTAGCTGTTAGCTCGTCATCCGAGTACCTCATTACGCGTTCATGTGATCCTATACTCGAAGCGGTGGGGCATGCAAGGGAGGGAGCTGCTTTGAAGGATAGGCCCAGGAGGGCCCTAGGTGTTGGGGCTTCTCGAATGCTGGATCAACGACTCACAGCTTGCACACCTTAACCGTGAAGAGGAACCGGACAGACGATCCGTTTTTATCTACAAGCTGGCCGGAGGAGGCATGTGTTTGTGTTGCGACGACTGGCATCATGACCCCGGCATGTCCTTTGTCGGACTTCTGGAATGGCACAAGGGATATTCCTCAGAAGTTTGTCTGTGTCATGGCCATCGTCTGCTATATGTCATGTGTAGATTCAGTGTAGATGTTACACCATCATAGTACTCAAGTAGCCATCATGAAAAGGTTCCCTGTTCTTGCGATGGTAGGGCCATTGCTGTCTGTCTGTAGGACTAGGTCCCTGATTGGTACCCTTTTGCCCTTTTCTTATTTTAGGGCCCCTCTTATTAAAACCGAATAGTAGGAACAAGGGTATCCTTAGTATAAAGAGGCTACTCTGGAACCAAGGGGAAGAAGTGCTGCTTACACCTCCTGGCCAGCTGCGAGCGCCATTTTTTCATGTCGTGGTAGAGGCCGGAATACTAGGTACAATTATTCCTCAAGGCTCCTCATATCTAATATGTATCCCGTATATCTATACATAATTGTATATATATATATATACATATATATATATATATATGCATGTATGTATGTATGCATGTATGTATGAATGAATGTATGTATGTATGTGTATATATATATATGTGTGTGTGTGTGTACATGATACTGAAAGAACCCAAACCTATGCTACTTACTCATTATGGCCCCTATATCGGAGTTCGCCTTGCATCTTGGACGCTGCCTGGGCTCGGCAAGTTGCGGCAGGGACCGAATTTTGTGAAAGCTACGTGAGGGTTTAGGGTTTAAGGTTTAGGGTTTACGCTCCGGGCGAAGTGGAAAGCCTGTTGCAAAAAAGGGTTTAGGGTTTAGGGGTTCCATCTATAAAGCTACTCCTCGCAATAGCTTGTGAGTAGAAGGGCCCCGCCCGAAAGAACCATAAACTGGACAAGAAGCGACCCACCACAACAAGTTCCTGCCATGTCTGGTTCTCAACCCACCCGCAGGTTCCAAGAGCGTCTGCTCCGTAACTTGAGATCTCACGAATAGTAGGAGATCATGGCTTCTGCAGCTGTTACACCTTTTCGCGGCAACAGTCTACCACTGCGAGTCGGAGTCCAGACATACCCGTTGCCGAAGTGTATTGGTACTCGTATGTTACATTGCAGTCAGGGGCAGATAGGTTCCAGACCCCCGGCGCATCGGGGGAAATCGTCGATGCAAAGACCGGGGATGCTATGATTATGAGAAATCCTGACGAGTGTAAATTATTCAGCTGCTGACTTGTGCATGCTGCTTGATTCCGGGCATGAGGGCTTAGCCTGCGAAGTCATCGGTCTTTCCGGCACGAAAACTCGACGCTTCATAGCTTCAGTTTCAAAAAAGAGCGGGCTTGTCGCTGTTGCTTGCAGCACATGCAGAGTCATCAGATCTCCACCAGGATGGAGCGACTTTGCAAGAGTCCTTGGATATCCTTTGTGGGTTGCAAAGCCGAAGACCCTAGGCTCAGAACCTGTGAATTGCAGGCAGTGGCGGTCGCTGGAGCTGTGGAGATTTGCAGAGGATTCAGGCGGCTTTGTCGCTCCAATGTCTTCCCATGGTCTCTTCATGCAGTAACCCTAAGCCCTAAGCCCGAAATAGCGAGTGTGCGAGTCGAAATAGCCAACAGTGACAATGCTCCAAGGATCGTTGCAGACAGAAATGCCACACATCCCCCGCTCACCAAGACGAAACCCCTGGGCCTGGCAGCCAAGACGCATTTGCCAGGTCTTTCTTTGGCGGCTCGAGGCTGGGAGCCACCGGTCTAGCCATGTGGGTGTGGGGTACCGTCTGAGGCTGTAGCCTGCAGACGTTATGATTCACAGTGGTAGCGAAATATGCTGTTACCGATACGTTGTGTTACGTTTTGATGCGGTGACAAAGCGTTCTTGTGTTATCTAGTTAGTATTGTCCGGTACTGCTGCTGTAAGAGTCACCTTTGGTGCTGCTACTCTTTGCAGATGCGACTAGATTAGTCTTGCTTCAGCCACGACGACTCCTAGACATGCTCTTCATGTCGTACTTGCGTAGATCTCATGGCCACCATCGCTATTGTAATTTCGGTGTTGTTCGCTCCAACGTGTTCAAGTTTCGCGGAGAATGCACGTGTTACAGCGGGCGCTTCAACATTTTGAAGATCATCTGAAATCTCACTTTGAATTCGATGTACATGCGTCAAAGTATCTTAATTATTAGGATCAGGAAAAGAGGTCCTGAGTGAGGCAGGACGGATAGATGAGATTACATGATAGCAAGACTCATTGCATAGTATGCAAACGGGACATGCATTCTGTGAGCACTTAAGAAAAAACGCTCGCGGCTCTTTTTTGCGGACACGACCACTCATGTAGGCAGTTGATCGTCCGCTTCGTGCCTCCATCGTTTGCAGATCCGGCTGCCGAATTTGACCATTGCGTTAACCATTGCGGAAGTTTTCTGGCTCAAGGCAGTTTTCTGCCACTTCTGTGGTATCTTAACCATGGTTGACTGGGCCATCCGTCCAAGGAACTGCATTCGCGCATTCCTACCATACATATTTCTTTTCAATGAAGCCATCACTGAGGTGTCCGGCTACAAGGTCACCTCATACGGAGGATCAGTTCCTCCCAAAGGCAATCAGTCTTTCAAACCAGGAGGTGCGGTTCCTCTCAGCGCCCTGCAGCTCGGGACCGCCGAGATAGAGGCAGGCGCAATCATCGATGCCGTTGATGCCTGCTTGAGTCAGCGGTTTGTGGCTGCGGAAACGGACGACTGGAAGATGGTACGTCTCAACAAGGTGCCTTGGCAGTTTGTTTTTGTTGTTCTTGGCGTAGACTGGGGAAAGAGAAGCCCGTCTCAGTACATACTTTAACTCTAAGCACTTCGAAGGTGCGGCGGGCAGAGATTGTCATCAGGCTTGTGCGTGCAAACATCAGCCTGACAGAGTTCGGGCAGCAGTGGTCTGACGATGAAGCGGTCATCGAGGCAACGAAGATGGCTGGTAGACAGGCCGCAGAGGAGATCGCCCACAAAGAGTTTGAAGAGACCATCGACCAGACGCTCTCGGGTTCTACTCTAACCCAGGCTGCAGCACAGGACCGCAGAGCATAGATCGATAGTTCTCTGTCTGCGTCAGTTTCAGTTGAGCTGACACATTCCCCAAACATTGTGGTCCACACTATGGGGCTCTCCGGCACAAAGAAAACTGCACGTGGAATATGGTCTTTACAGTTTGTTCTCATGCCCCTCTTTTTAATACGGGCTCCCGACGTGGCTGCATGTTGGCTTCGAACATCGAAATGCTTAAATCCCAGGAGTAAAAAGCACCGGCCAAGGCGAGGGTGGGTGAGCATCGTGGCCAGGGGTCTCTCTCGAACGGAGTGGTGGTGACCTGGTGGTCTCTTCCTGGGGGTCTCTGCTTCTGGATGTATGCTACGGTGACGCTTTTTAAATATGTGGAGGGCGGCCCAGGCCCAAGGATGACAGAGGTAGTGTAAATGACCT